ACTTCCCATGTAGCCCCACTGAACTGGGTTCCAAGTCACTGTATCCAGAGGTTTGCAAGCTGTAACAGATGGGCCATTGATTTTTCTACTTCCTCACTTTGCCTTCCTTTCTCTCCTGTGGTAGAATTACTTCATATAGAGTAATCCATAGAGCATGGATTTCCAAACATTTTTTTAGTCTAAGTACCCCCGGCAGCCAGATGCTGAGCAGGGGGAGTGGGGAGGGTGGTGAACAGCCGGATGCTGAGTGGGGAGGTGAGGATGGCGCACGGGCAGGTGGGGACGAAGCACGACTGCCTCCCAGAAGCAGGGCCAGGGCAGGGTGAGGGCAGCAGTGCCTCTCTGCGGGGTGAGGAAGCTCACCAGGCTGCTGCATGGCAGCAGCCATTGTCACATGCGAGCTTCCCTGCCCTGCAGAGGGGCGCCGCTGCCCTAGCCCCACCCTGGCCCTGCTCCTGGGAGGTGGCAGTGCTCTGTCCCTGCCCACCTGCGCATACCCCCTAGGACTGGTCTAAGTACCCCCCCACCAAGGGATACACATACCCCCGGTTGGCAACCCCTGCCACAGAGGACAATATATGCATATAAGAAGTGTGTGCAAATTCCTACTAAGAAATATGCTATAACATAATAGCTTCTCAATAAAGTATTCAGTATATGGTCTGACTCTGGATTGAAGCCACTGCTTCCTTGTAGTGAGAGAAGAGAGGTCAAGCAGCAGCTGAAGGCGAAATCTAGCTATTCAGTGAACAGAAGAAGCCTGGGAAGCAACAATCCTTAAGGAGACTTGGGGGTAAGAGTGGACAGATAACAAGTTAAGTAGGTGTTTACAGTGTAACCTGGCAGAAGGCTACATACAATGTGTCTTCTCTGTATAAGCTAGCTACTGAGCTACAGTTAGTTACCTGCTTTAGGGCTGTTTTGGTTGCACAACACTGTGCTTGGTCTCCCTGCTGTTAATAGGTATGTACAGAGAAACACAAGAATTTGGCTAAATTGCATCCAGTTTGGGCACTCGATTGGTTAAAGTGGGCATGATTTTACCATGCACCATATAGTGAGGTTGGAGTGTTGTAGCCATCATTAGAAGATACCATATTTTCTTGCATACAACACGTCCTTGAATCAAATACATGCCTTGTTTTTGAAAGGCATAATCCAGGAAAAAAAGATATCTTACCTTAAAAGCCTCTGCCAGCGGAGAAAGAGAAATTATCCATAGCCAGCAGTTAGGGAGCCCTGCCTACAGTTTTACTTTTCCTCATGTTTTTCTCCTGGCAGAGGCTTAAGCAGCAGTGGTGTTACTGTATTCCCTTGAATCTAATGTGCACTCCAATTTCCATCAGCTGAATTTTGGAGGAAAAAGGTGAATGTTGTATGCAAGAAAATATGATATTACCAAACAAACCTCACACGCCACACAAATACATTGCAAGGTTCCTAGGTGCTGCACTACTACTGTTGCTACCACCAATATACTGTACAATATGGAACAACGGAACTGAACTAGAAGACAAAGCAGCTCTCTTCTACCTCTGTCCTCTAGGATTTTGTAAGATCAAGACATTAATAAATATTATTGGCAAGCTTTTGCAGCAGAGGAGTATTAGAACTTCACTTTCATGGCATGAACCCATTACTTTTGATAAAGCTTTCTGAATTTACAGTTGCTAAAGATCTGAGATTAAAGTGTTTATGTAGTGTATCGCTTGTAATTAAATTCTTATTTGCAATAAGCATTGTTTAATTTCCTTCTCTGAGCTTAAACTAAATTCAAAGTACCATACTGTGCATGGCTACAGTACTTAACCTTTCAGTGCCCCTTTTAAGTTGGCAGAAAAACAGTTGGCATAGTAAGTAACAAGTCACAAGAAGAAAAGTATTTCTGTATAACCATTGCACCCCTAAAGCAGACTACTGGACATCAGAACAAAGGTTCAATAGTCAGAAACTAGGTGCATCTACACATGCGCTTTACTGCAGAGTTGCCTAATTAGCTCTGAAGTAAAGCATCACCATCTACACATGCAACCCTATTAGGACATAGGGAACTAATTACCTGCACTGTAGGATAGTGCTGTCCAGGACAAGTACTATCCTACAGCACATTTATTTAGTGCACTGAAATGCACATGTAGATGGTGGCTAGGGCTGGCTGGCAAATGAGGGTGCCTACTAGCTAGCTTCACACTGTAGCACCCTTGTGCTCCAGCCAGGCCTCCTGCAGCATGTTGAACTAGGGTGGTGCAGCTTCAGGCTGGCAGGCTGTCCCCCCAGACCCACTGCCGGCCAGAGCTGCTCTGCCCTGCCTCAATGTGCTGTACTCCTGGGCATACATGTAAACACTGTGCCTAGGAGCAATAAACTCTAGTGCAGGGGTTCCCAACATTTTATGCCACAGCTCAGCAAACTGCAGCCTGGAAGTGGCTGTGGCCCAGCAAATCATGGCCCAGCAGTCACAGCCAACTGCAGCTGGAATTTCTGGCTGAAAGACAGGTGAGGATACGCCCACCCCCAGGCAGGGGGTGGGCCAAACCCTGCACTGCCGTGGGCCCTGTAGAAGGAGCCGCGGCCTCTCTGTCTGGCTCTGTGGGACCGTGGTTTGCCGGTCCGTGGCCACTTCCGGTCCAGCAGCCGACCGTGCTGCAGACCAGCAGCTGTCCTGCTGTGGCCCAGCACCGGGCCACAGCCTGGGGATTGAGAACCCCTGCTCTACTGCATACTGTGCCAGAGTTTATTGCTACGTGCTAACTGAATGTGTAGATGCACCCACAAACAACTTACAGTTTCTTGATGTTTATAGAATAGAATAATTAAAGAAGATAAAATCTAGGCTAGGGTAGTTCTTGGGTTGATTGACCACAAGGATGTTGTAGTAAGATCATAGAGCAGTAGCCTCAATGGTTCAGGGAATATGTGAGAAGAAAGTCTTATTTAAATGTCTTTATTTGAACCAACCATATAGCTGAGAGATGCTAAAAGACCTTTCAGCTAGTTGGAAAGCTGAAAAAAATGACAGCATTTTAGTGTCGTTTCAGAAGTAAGCAAACAAATCATACAGGGAAAGATATATATTTATCAGGATAACAGAACTACATCATCTCAAAACTTAATGGAAGAAGATTTTCCAGTCAGCTGAACTAGTCTTATGTATCAGCACATTCTTTTATACAAACACATTTGAGATTTGAATGTAATGTCTACCAAACAGTGAAACACCTGGAAGCATTGATTTATAGGTTTGATTCTGTAAAATGCTGAGGATGCTGAACTCACAACGATGTCAGGTACATGTACCTAGTGGGCGTGTCAAGACATGCACATGTAATACACATTAGCCCAATTTAAGGTGAATTAAGGGCATGCGTCTATATGCACACACCCTTAATGCACTTTAAAACTGGTAATTTTAGGCTATTCGAGTCTAAATTTGATACCTGCATAAAGCAGATATCAAATTTATGCGTGAATAGCTAAGCTGCATTAGCACACATGCAGATAGGTTAATACGCATTAATGGGGGGGAGGGGTCAATGGATGGACACTACGCTAATGCGACTTAGTGTTACCTTAATGTGCGTTAGGCATGCATAAATACATGTGTAGACACTCCCAGTAGTATGCAGGACTGTGCACCTTTTAAATCATTTCTTGTTTTGATTTGTTGGCAGATTTATGAGTATATCTAGCTGTTGCGAAAGCATAAAGCATTTTGAGTATTATCACTCTTTAACTCATAGCTATAATCATTTACGAGTTTCTATTTATACGCTTTTATGTACCAGATACCTTCATCTGGCTATCAAGTCCAATTTAAGCTTTATAATTATTTTTATTGTATTTAGCATTGCATAAGAAATAAATCTTCACCTCATACTTTAAGTTTGATCCTAACAGCATATTTAACATGCAGCATATATAAATAAAAATGGAATTCATGCCACATTGCTCTATTTCTCATAATTTTTCCTTGTTTCTGAATTAATAAACTACATGTAACACCTAATATGTGATCAATATGTAAATATTTCACAATTAACATCTGTTGCCATGTGGTATCTCCCTTTTAGGGAAATGAAAGACATAACTGACTGGAATTTTGGCTGTGACATTGCCAAAAATGGATGGCATGCTTCAGCTGAAAAAAAGAGTTTTGAGGAATACCCAAGTTTCTGTATGCTGGATAAATTACTGACTGTAGTACTTTTCTGATGATTCTGTCACCTAATATCTAAGTGAAGTTTATATAATTGGGATTCTGTTTAAAAGAAAGAAGTAAACTTTGTTTAAGGTATACTATTGTCCACTTTACAAATCAAACATTTCAGTGCTTATTGGCATGTAGTAGTATGTAAACACTTAAATCAATGCAGTATACTGCTAGACTTTATTATTAGTACAATCTGAAAGTTTTAGCTGTGTTTCACAAGCACATTTTATATGCATACAAAAAGAGATTTTTCATCATGAGAAATGCAAAGGTGCAGGGCTGGGGTATTGTTTTGTTATGCCAGCATAACAATAAATTGAGAGAGAGTCCAACCTGCTGAGGAGTTTCTGGAGCAAAATTCCTATACACCCAGGGAAAAAATCACATTAGAGCTTGGAGATCATACACACCTAGCGAACCCTTGATAACTCCAGTCATACAAATCAAAATCCATCCTAATGGATTCCTAATACCTTTCCATGTATTTGCATATCCAAGTATGTTTTGTAGCCTCTAAACAGCAAACAAAATTTGCCTGTTGCTATCTGCAATTATACTGAGAGAGCTGCATCATGAAATCTCTTACATTTGGGGACCAACCTATTTATTTTAGCCCCTTTCCAGAATGAACAGCAGTTACGACTCTTCACTTGCACCAACCTCCCAAAGAGAAATTGCAGCCAGCTGAGACATTCAAAACTTGAAATGAATGGAAACTTTCCACATTAGGAATGTCTATTTCAAAATAAACCCTTGCCCTCAATGTAAGAATTGATTTGGAGTTTCTTACCTTCTATGACCTGAGCTGATAAAACAACAGGGAGCGATGAACTCAAGAGCACTAGTAGCAAATTCCAGGACCACCAGTAATTCCTGGAGCAGATTTGCCAGAAAGAAGGGGGAAAAAGAAAGAAAGAATAAAAAGAGAGAAATGAAAAGGGGGGGGGGGGCAGAGAGAGAGAGATTGAGAGAGATGAGACTAAAATTATCAGTGCAGACATGCAAAAAAAGAAAAGTAAAAGTTCTTACCATGAGTGCATCTTTTTAAACATTGCCGAAAGACCTGAATTGGAAAAAATGTTCAGTGATCATGAATTTGTCCTTATGAAAAGAAAATATTAATAAAAATTGGAGTCTGCTGTCTCCTACAACGTTCAGACACAAGTGGAACAAAGGCAGCTCTCAGGCTCTCTCAGTGACTCATTGCAATCAGTGTTCCAACACTGAAATCTGACTCCTTGTAGATTTTCCTCTCAGACCACCGCCTTAAACTCCTGAGTCTGGTCCCCGTTCTTTATTAATGGAGATCCCCTTATCCTACACCACCTTCCATCAAACTACAGTACACGCTACTGCATACCAGAATAATTTCTCTGCACTCCTTCCTTTCCTCCACTCATCACCTCCGCTCTCCTGTCCAGTAAAGCATGACCTCTAACATCCTCCCATCCAACATATACAGCTAACATTATGCGTCTCTGTAAGGAATTCGACACTTCACCAGCACATCAGGTTGGCCAAACTATAACATAAGGAAACTTTGAAGTAATGTACAAAACAGAGGAACCCCAGTTAAAAGAAGATAAAAGGTGTTCTTTGAGATGTGTTGTCTATACACACATTCTTGCACTCCCAAGTCTCTGACCAGAGATTTCTTATTTCAGCAGCATCTATAGTAGGTGTTCCAGACCCTTCCTGCACCAAGGGAATAAAGGGAAAAGCATTCCTTCCCAATTTTCAGTTTCCTCTCAGCTGCTAAGTTTCAGACGGACCAACTACAAGGAAGAGAGGAAGAG